CACTAGAGTGCATAGAAGAGGAAAGAGAAACTCCAAATTAGGCCTGGTTGCTTGGGCTTGGGAGTGTGGGCGTGGCCTAATCCTAGGAGATAAGTTTTCGTTTGTTCCTGGTTTTGATAGCCTTGCATAAACTAGTTTATAATGCACACAAAAGTACAGTTTTATATACTCCAACTTTATGCGTGCAGTGGGTCTGACTCTGTGTTTCTAATTTAACCATGGGATAGAGAGCCTAATTATTGGTTTAAAATGTTGAAAACATATAAAAATATACCAGGAAGATTCTTACAATGTCCTGGTGAACTCAGCAGCCCTCTGCCACAAACACTTTTATTAGTCTGAGGAACTGGTGATGATCCAGGACCTGGTCCATGCTGAGCATGTGTTTTTGGTTTTATCTTGGTTTGGTTATTTTTTGTTGTTGTTTGTGGGATTTTTTTTTTTTTTTTTGGAGACAGAGTCTTAGTCTGTTATTCTGTCCATCCTGCAGCTTGCTACGTAGACCAGGCTGGTCTTGAACTCATGGAGATCTGACCGTTTCTGCCTCCTGAGTGCTGAGGATTAAAAACGTGCACCACCACACCTAGCTAAGCCTGTGCTTCCATCGTTGAGTTTAGCCCCTAGTTCTTCGGTCGACACTAAAAGCCTTCTTTATCTCAGGCTGTCCTTGAGACTGTGGCAACGTCCTCAAATCCTGCCCCTGCTGGGTGCTGAGATTAAGGTGTGCACTAACAAACCCAGTTTCCTAGTAATCTTCGTGCAAGCTGATACAAGTGCGTTAGGCTTTCTCCTCTCTTGTTTCTAACTGCAGATAGCAAGTTTTGCTTTTTCTCCAGGTAAGAATGTATCTTGGACATTTACCCATCAGAATGCAGTGATTCAAAGATAAGATACCACACCGGGGCTCTAGCTTGAAGCCCTTTATTCTTTGGTGAATCGATTTACCTAGCAAGCCCTTTGTTATGGCTATTTTAATAGTTTCCAAGCTTACTGAAAATGACGTTGTAACTCAGTGGGCGAGACCTTGTCACACACAGAAAATAACTAAATGAGTAACTAGAAACACCGAGCAACCTGACCGATAGGCATTTCTTTCACACAGACAAGCAAACCTGCAGGATACTTTTCCTGAAAAAAGGGCAGCTGCTACATCACAGGATGTATTCATCCTTTCTGCAAAAATCTTCACTAAAGTCCCTCCATAAAATTGAACATCAAGGGCTGGAAAGAAGACTCAATGGTTAAGAACACTGCCTGCTCTTCCCAAAGACCCAGGTTTGATTCTCAATACCCACTCGGAGACCGGGTCTGTCACTCCAGTCCCAGGGGACCCAACACTTTCTCTAGCCTCCTGGGGCATCAGGCATGCACATGGCGCACAGACATACATGTAGGCAAAACACCCACCAATAACAATAATAAATTTTAAATTTTAAAATCAATTTACATTCCCAGGAACAATGTATGAAGGGTCTGTTTTCTCCCCAAACCTCACCAATAGTGCTAGCAAATGGAAAATGGAGGGCATTTTCTTCATTTTTTATTATTTATTTTACTTATGTATGAATTTCAGTTTCTTTCCATGTCTCAGAGCCATCTGAACACTTATGCCACGTGGTAAAGAATAATGGTGCTGCTCACTGGGCCTGGTGATCCACACCCATTATCCAAGCACTTGAGAGGTGGAGGCAGGAAGGTCAATACATAGTTCAAGGTAATCCTTGGTTTCAGATCAAGTTTGAGGCCAGCCCGGACTACTTAAGACTTCATTTCAAAAGACAAACAAAACCAAAAAAAGGTCGTCAACAGGGTCACAAAGAGAAGTTATCTGATAAGAAGGAAGCTGACTTTAAAACCGTCCTGGCAAGTGGTTTCCCTCTCATTTCATAAGTGCACTAAAAATACCTACCAGACTACACAATGGCCAAACGGCGCAGGGAGAAAGGGTGCATCGCCAACCAAACACCCAATTGGCCGGTCTTGTCTTATAGGGATCTGCCATGACCTGGAGTAAACAGGCTGGGGAGGGGGGCATTTTTCTATGCATGCATGTATTTACGTGGAGCTGGAAATCAAGTCCAGGGCCTTGAAGATGTGAGGCCTGCACGGGGCTCCACCCACTTTCAGAACTCTCCTGGATCTTACATTCCTGATTTGTTAGAAGGCAATGAGTACTGGGGTGAATAAAAGATGGGAATAATGCTTGTGGTTGTCCCCTGGTGCCTTCAGGCAGTTGGACTATAGCTGTGGTTGCCCTGGGAGACCCACGGGCCAGCGATAGCAAGTGAACCACACAATTGAAATGGGTGTGTTACAACCACATGGCCTCCAAGATGGGCCAGTGGGCAAGACCGCTTGCTGCCAGGTCTGATGGCCAGAGTTTGATCCCGGGGAAACCACACAGCATCAGCCGAAAACGGACTCCAACAAATCGTCCTGTGATGGCTACTTGTACGCCAAGGGCCTCATGCATGCACACACATCCACGTGCACACATAGACCGGTTATAGAGGTCCAAGGGTAGTAAGAGGCAATTTTAAATCTTCAGCTACTCTTCCAGGTTTTATTAGGACAGGTTTTGTTAAGATGATGTTTGAAGAAAGAGTCGAGAAGTTCTGTAGATATCTAGACAGCCGTGGCCATGACACGCAGAGGCGTGCGTGTATCTACAGCGTGGGAAGAACTGCAGACACGCACTGGCCGTGCATCACAAGGTTCAGGCTAGAGCAACAATAAAGCAGAAAGGAGCCGGACTCAGGAGCAGTCGATTCTTATCCCAGCTACTTGGGTGACTGGGTCAGGAGGGGGGAGACAGCAGCATGGGCTACAGAGGGATGCCCAGGTCATGAAGGAAAGGAGGAGGAGACGTGGTTGGAAGTGGGTGCTCAGGCCTCTAATCTCAGTACTCGGGAAGCTAAGACAGGAGGATTGCCGCGAGTATGAAGCTAGTCTAGGCGATATAGCAAGACCCTGCCTCACAAAAATGAAACAAAAGAAAAAAGAAAACAGAAATCAAGACAGACATAGAAAGGAAAGGCAGTGTGATTAGAGGAGATACAGAGATATGGAGAGGAGAGGAGAGGAGAGGGGAGGGGAGGGGAGGGGAGGGGAGGAGGGGAGAGGGAAGGGGAGGAGAGAGGAGTGAGGAAGATCTGCCGAGATAACTGGTAAATACAGAGGCAGAGAGGTTTTTGTTTGTTTAGAAAAGGTCTCTCTTTGTAGCCCTGGCTGTCCTGGAACTCACTATGTACACACCAGGCTGGCCTCAGAGATCGGCCTGTGGAGGTTTTTGTTTTTTTTTTTAACTTTATTTTTCTTCTTCTTGCTTTTCTTAGTACTGGGGACTAAGGCCAGAGTCTTGTGCATGCTAGGCAGTCCACACTCCGATTTATTTCCAGTGCCCACATGCTACATGATGTCTAGCTCTTACCTGCATCACCCCTATGTCAAAGGCTCAGTGTTCCCACCGCTATAAAGGAAGAAGACAGTTACCCAAATCCGCAGGCACACTTGGACAAGCTTAGGTTTGTTTTGGCTTGTAGTCCCTAGCAATAAGGGGTCCGTCTTGTGACTTTGTGACCCCTAACTCAGCACTCCTTAAGGCTTTGCTTGTTAGTTTGTTAACCTCTTCCTCGGAGTGTCTGTGATTTCAGCATCTCACCTTATCTGGCTGATTTACCCACTCTGATCTTCTCCCATTTGAGGTTCACAGTAGGGGAACATCAATCCTAACTACATTGAGGCAATGATTCCAGCCTTGCCTCTGACAGCCATAGCATATGTTAGCTAGGAATGAAGTTCAGATCTAGGAAAAACATAGCTAGGATTTTCCCAGAAGGGATGGCAGCTCATTTATACACACATCAAAGGGAGTGTGTATCTTCATTCAGAAATGAGAGGAAGGAGACCGGTACCTGGGATGGACATGGGCCATGAGTATCACGCCAAGGTTTTTTCAGGGACACAGCACCCGTTATTAAAGTTCCTCCAAAGGCAAAGCCACCACTGTCGCTAAATACATGGCCATGAAAGAGGACCAAGCTATTGTCCCTGCTGTGGATAAAGTGGCCCTCAGGAAAGATGGAGACAAAATAGAAAACATTGAGTAGTAACACAAATGTCACAGTTTTTTTGTTTGTTTGTTTGGTTGGTTTTTTTTTTTTTTTTTTGATAACTTCAGGCCTCTGACTTTGGAGGTTCCAGGTCCACGGGAGTCTGAGGCAGGCCCCATCCTAAATTTGACGCCCCAGGATCTGACAGTAACTCTGTGTTGCTGTTGACCGAGGGTGACCAGGTCATGAATTCTGTTTCTGACCAGGATGTTGAATTCTGTTTCTGTCGTTTGGTAGCTTTCATACCAATGGCTCATCAATGTCCCTTCATCCATTTTCTTTCACGGAAAATAAACTTAGACATTCACTTCAAGAGCTGTTGAGAAGTGGGGTGGGGGTGAGGCTCATGCCTTTAATCCCAACTTGAGGGAAACTGAGGTTGGTGGCTCTCTTGTGAGTTCAAGGCCAGCCTAGAGTTCAAGCCAGCCAGGGCTACCTAGTGAGGTTGATCAGGTTCAGAGAGTGGAGGAGGGAGGGGAGGGACCAGGAGTTTTTGGAAAGTGAAGGAGAAAGAGGTGAGCAACTTGGCATATGCCTGGGCCTACTTATAATAAACCGAGTTGATTCGGAACTATCCTTGCTTCGATGTCACAGATGAAGGCTCTTCCCAAGATTTTATCCCATACTCCAGGTACCTTCTGATGGTCCTCGGGATGCGGCTGCTCTGTGCAATGTTCCTCAGAAAGGCAGAGCCCAGCTCGTGCTCCCTGTCTCTCTACACAGGCCGGGGAGTTGGGAGGGGGTGTCAGAGACCACCTTTCATTGTCATACCTTGCCCCTACCTCAAGAAGACACCGCTATGCCTGGCCTGGACAGCTTCCCTCCCTCTCAGCCTCGCTGTCTTATGGACTCTCTCCCCTGGTCCCTGACGCCCCACTTGCTCCTCACCTGATGTAGGGGAGAAAAGGACTGACGTGCCCGAAGAGCACCGCGATCACGTAGGAGATGATGAAGGCTGCGGACGACCATACCACCAGGAGGAAGGGGACGAAGGCCATTCCCCTGAGGAAGCACTGCATCGCGGTGAGAGGGCGCTGCGCTCGTCGGGCCAAGAAGCCGGCTTGCTGCGGGCTGCCTGGAGGCGGTGGCCACGACACACAGACAGCTAACGTGCGGCGGGACGGGGGCTCCGGGACAGCCGGGGCAGGCCCAGCCCCGGAGGGAGGGAAGCGCTCAGAGGCGAGAGGGCGGACCGGCAACCGGGTGGGTGGGGCGCGGGCGGTCCAGGTTTGTTGCGAAACCAGTGAAGTCACAAAGCAGCCGTCTGGTCCCCGCCGAGCTGGGGCGCGCGGCCACCTCCCCGCCCACGCCGGGTCACGCCGGACCGCTAGGCTTCCTTTCACTTTTGCTTGGGACCGCGTCGGGTGGGTGCAGCTGGAGACTCGGGACCCCGCGGGGCTGATCCGCTCTTGCGCAAGTCGGCAGGCTGGGCTGGATTCCCAGCTCCTCCTTCCTTCGCTTGGGATTTCCCTCGGAACCCACTGGGCTTCCTTCCAGGGTCTGGCCCCCGATGCCCACCCCATCAGGGCGCGCCGTGGCTGCAGGGGTTCAGGCAGAGGGGTTCAGTGACGCTGGCCAGGTCACTGGGCATGGTTGTGACACATGGCTGGGTGGTATGCACCCGGAAACCCAAATCATATTGTAGCCAGGCTTGATAGTACGGGTCTGTCATCCCTGGTGGTGGCTACTACGGAGGCTAAGGCAGCGGCAGCAGGATCACAAGTTCAAGGCCTGAGTGGGCAGCTTATTGAGACACTCTCTAAAGGGGTGGGGATGTAGCTCAGTTGTAGAGTGTAGACGGGGCTTCATCTCTAAGCATTGTAAAAGACCTCATGGCAAAGGCCCTCATTCAATCAAGTAATGGAGGATTGGATCCAGCCCTGGCCCAGCCTGGGTTGCCCAGGTTGCTGCCCACAATTCCGTTCCCACCAAAACTACTCGGAGTATTTATTTCCTCGCAATAAGACAAGAAGACTTGATCTACCTGAGATCCACCTCAGACTCCACCAAAACCGACCCGACAGGCGTTCCTGAAGCACAGACCTGTTCTGTGCAGCCGAGTTACAGTTCAGTTTGGGGATTCTGAGCCCCACTCTTGGCCACAGACGTCCTAATATGGGTTCATCTCAGCCAGATAAACTTGTCTTGAGTGCCACACTGTGCTAGGGAGCAGCCTATGGGGTTTAACCAACACCATCAGAACTAAAAGATGATCTACCGGCCAGCAAAGCTATGCAGGACAGGATTTAAAACATGAAATTAAAAAAAAAAAAAAAACAGAACTGGGGACCCAGAGCTCAGATGAAGGACCAGAGTGGTTTTGACAATATAATAGTTTTCAAGACATCTGGGGAAGAACACATGACCACCTGGTAGCACTGTCCCATAGCTCCAACTCCCAAAGGGAATAGTTAGCCAGACAAAAGCAAGACTGCCTTGCCAGGCCAAGAAATTAGCAAAAAATGCACCGGCTGAAAATGCCTCTGCCTTCAAGACGAAGACATTTAAATACCTGTGAGACAAAGAATGGCTTGGTTTTAGCCAGATGTGGAGCTCACAGCTGTAATCCCAACACTTGCAAGGGTAAGACAGGACAGCCAAGAGTTCAAAGCCAATCTGAGCTACACAGTGAGTTCTAGGCACACCTGGGCAACAGAGACCCCACCTCTCAGGTATCGTCCAATTGTGAGCCATTTAAGAATCTTCGGCCTGAAACTCCTTGTACCTTCTAGAACAGCAATCCCTTGGTCACCTGGACCTGGGAGACAGCTCAATGGATAAAGGTGCTTACAGCCAAGCCTGATAGCCGGAGTTCCATCCCATGGAACCACATAATTGTAGGAAAGAATCCAAGGCCTCAAACTGTTTTCCACACACCTTCCCCTCCCCCCAACTGTCATTCATGGCTTCTCTCCTGCCAACCAGTTCCCAAATAATCACTCAGAGGCTTAATATCAGTTTCAAACTGTTTAGCCTATTAGCTCAGGCTTATTATTAACTAGCTCTTTCAACTTAAATTAACCCATATCCATTATTTTATATTTTACCACAAGACTCATGGCTTGTTACCTCATATCTTGCTTCTCCAGCAGCTGCTGGCATCTCCCTGACTCCACCTTCTTTTCCCCTTTATCGTTGCTTAGATTTCCCACCTGGCTCTATGTTGCTGGCTTTGGGCCAAATCAGTTTTTTTTTTTATTAACCAATGGTGATAGGACATACTCACAGAAGACAGAGGGGGGCGTCCCACATCAATTCACTGGTTTCCTGGGCTTTGGAAAACAGCTCTCATTCAGTCTTTCCCCCCTCCCCATCCCCCACTTCTTTTTTCTACCGTTAGATTTAGATCAACATGTAGCTCTCCCTTAGTCAGAGGACTAATGGCCCCCAAAGAAGTTTCACCTGGTTATTTATGTTTTGTTGATTGTGAAAAACCCAGATAAATCCAGACCCCTCTAGCAGGAAGAACAGAGCCAAAAATCTAACAGGAAGAGAAGAGCTAAAAATCTAGGTTAGCCGGTTCAGTGACTCTGTTCCAGGAACTAGCTGACCATAAAGTTAGATTATAATCTTGAGAATAATCTTGAGAAACGGGGAGTTACCTCCCTTGTGATTATCACTGGTATTTTTGTAATTTTCCAATGATGCCCTCCCTACCCCCTTTGGGTTGTGTTTTTTCCCCCTAAATACCCGTTCTCCCAGCTACTTGGGGTGGAACTCCTCTACCCCGCGTGGGATATGAGTCTTGGCCCCAGTGTGTTGGTTCCTGTCAATAAATCTCATGTGATTACAGCAAGGACAGTCTCTCATGAGTTCTTGGGGGGTCGTGTTATCCCAAGACTTGAGTAAGAGTCTCCCCACTTTGGGGGTCTTCCAATCGTATGATTTGCTACAAAATTCAATTTAACAATTACTATTTTTGTCATTTCAGGGTTTCTCTCTTGCTTTCTCTTTCTCTCTCTCTCTCTCTTGGATTGTTTTGGAGTCAGGATCTCTCTGTGTAACCTAGGCTAGCCTCAAACTCATCTTGAAATCCTGAATGCTGAGATTTCAGGTATGTACCACAACTTGTCCCGCACTACCGTCTCAGCAGCAAGAACTATGCGGCACACTTAGGATCCTTCTGCAGAAAAGTTTTAATGCATCTTGAGAGAGAGAGCATAAGCTTCCAAAGCGGAGACCCAGAATGAGGGGAACCCATCCCTTATATAGGAAACAGTCCTCGCTTCGGACGTGTCACTCTTGGATTGGTCCGCTGCCCATCAACCCAGATGATACCTCGGGAGTAGGCAGGGACACAGCAGTGGAAAGTTACCAAGCACATGCGCATTATAGTCCCACTGTCTCTGACTCCCCAATGCTGGGATTAAAGGCGTGTGCTACAACACCTTGAACTCACAGAGATCTGTCTCTGCCTCCCAGGCATTGGGATTAAAGGTGTGTACTGCCACACCCTGAAGTCACAGAGGTCAACTACCTCTGCCCCTTAAAGTAATGGAGAATGTGGTTGCAGCCCTCCACAACAACTGGCTTGCTAGCCATTTAAAATATTGAATATAATAAGTTGTCTGACTATAGTGGCAATGGTGTGTTTGCTGGTGCTGTTGTTTTAAAGAATTCACATAAAGTTTATCACAAGGTGAAAGTGTGCATTCAAGGACAAATGCAGACTAAAGGGTCACCCCTTTTGTTAGTTACAATGGATATATTTGCATCTATATCTCTTAAATAAGATTGCTTTGCAGAAAGCTAGCATAATGATCCATTTTAACTGCCAACTTAATACTATTAGGAAATACCTAGGGCACTGACATAAGACATCATGGATGTATCTATGAAGATATTTCCATAATGGTTTAACTGAGAATGGAAAAACTGACCCTAAATATAAGTGGCACCATCCCATTGGGCCCAGAACAAATAAAAAGGAACAGAGGAAAAACTGAACACCCTCACCCATCCTCAGGGCTACAGATCAAACAGGTCTACTGCCATGATTTGCCCACTGTGGTGGACTGAGAGCCTTTGAACTGTGAGCCAACACACATGCCCTTCCTCTGCTAAGTAGCTTTGTCTTAGGTACTAAGTCATAGCACTAAGGAAAGCAAAGCATATGACCAGTGTATGAGAAGTGGCCACCAAAGGTTGATGTTACCGAGAGGCAGGAGAGAAAGGCAAGCAAATCCAAGTCGACGTCAAATGTAATTTTTTAAGGCTTGCCAACAAAAGCATGTCTTGGGTTGCAGGGAGAAAGAAGGACCAGTCGCCATAGTGTGAGAGGGAAGGGTTGATAAACTGTTACTCAAAGGCCCACAGCCAGTAGTAAGACAACTGGATTTTCTCTTTCTCTTTCCCTCCTCTCTTTACATCCACTTCTTTATATTGCATGTGCATACGTGTGCATGAGAGCATGTGCTCATGCCATGGTGCACGTGTGAAGGTCAGAGAGCAATTTATAAGAGTAGTGTCTCCAGTAATACCACTTTTGGATATATATCCAAAGGATGCTCAATCATGCCACAAGGACATGTGCTCAACTATGTTCACAGCAGCTTTGTTTATCACAGCCAGAACCTGGAAACAACCTAAATGCCCCTCGACCAAAGAATGAATAAGGAAAATGTGGTACATTTATACAATGGAGTACTACACAGCAGAAAAAAATAATGACAGTTTGAATTTTGCAGGTAACCCAGACCAGAAAGGCAATTATCACATGTACTCACCCATAGGTTGTTTTTAAACATAAAGCAAAGAAAACCAGCCTACAATCCACAATCCCAGAGAATTTAGACAACAATGTGGATACTAAGAGAGACTTACACAGATCTAATCTACATGGGAAGTAGAAAGTAGAAAAAGACAAGATCTCCTGAGTAAACTGGGAGCATGGGGACCTTGAGGGAGGATTAAAGAGGGAGGAGAGAGGCAGGGAGGGGAGCAGAGAAAAATGTAGAGCTCAATAAATATCAGTAAAAAAAATTTAAAAAAAGAGTAGGGTCTCTCCTACCATGTGGGTATTTGGGTTCTGGCGAATCATACTAGGTCATCAGGCTTGGCAGCAAACCCTTTTAGCCACCAAGTCATCTCATTGGCCCCTACCCTAGGCTTTCTCAGAATCTGTTCTCATGTCAAACCTTAGTTAAGGGACCCAGGTCTGCCTCAGAAGGCTTAATTGGCTTTGGTGAAGACTTTGCTCGCCTTGTA